TATATATAGTTTATATAGTTTATATTTTTTTGTTTTATATGTAACTCACTTGGAGTTAGAAATTGAGTGAGAAATTGATGTAGAACACTGGGCAGGCTTCCCGTGCTTCTCACATCACACTATCTGGCTGAGAAACATGAAAACATTCCCGAGGTTGCTCTTGAAATATAGATACTGTTTAATATTTTTCGTCTTTTAGTAAAGAGACAAATGTGGTGACAAGGTGAATAAAGTAGTGTATTGGTGATTTTTCTTTGTGTCTTCAATCTATAATAGAAGCCAATGTTTTGGTTTCCACAGCTAAAGAGTACTGTAAGGTGGCGTACGCTTACAAAGCCACGAACGAGGACGAGCTCACCCTGAACGAAGGCGATATTGTCCACGTGCTGAGCAAGGTAAGCTTCCAGGTGACTCATGCTGTAAACTTGTGTAATGAAATACCTTTTCGTCAGTGTCACAACCCAACATGTGAAGCAGAAGAACAGGTGAAGAACAAGGGAACTTTAGCAAAAAGGAAATGTGCAATCCTGTTACATGTCTGTGTGCACCAACTCCTCTCACATGATCAGGAGTTGAGCAGCTAAATGTGTGTCATCTGATATCATAATGTCATAATGTTGCCTAGCAGCAATGTAGCAACAGGCTAAAATAGCTTGTGCTTAGCACTTAGCCACATATAACACTGTATAAAAGCATTATATCACTGTACTTTAGCAATAATAACATTTCATTTCTGCTTGTTGTATGATGATACTGTTATGTAGCCTGGCAAAAAACAAACTGTTCTTTGCTTTTGTTTTCAGCACCTCATAAAAGTTATTTGTTTCACAGCAATGTTATAAAATCATCATGCTGCCTGAAATCACCCATTTTTACCATTTACGCATCTACAACATGAACATTGTACTGCTTTCATTTTGCAACCAACCGCACAAACAATACTGTAGCATGGACTTGTACCAAACCAATTACACTCTTATAACCTAGCTCTCAGAACTGGATGTAATTATTTTTGTGTGGGGAGTTCATAACAGCCCTATAGCTGCATTGCAAGAGAGAAAAGTGGAAGCAACACATGGTTTGTTGTAATTCTTGGGAAGCTGCCGCCATCTAGTGGTGAAACGAGAAAAGTGCATCCAAATGAAAACAAGTTTTGACATATTTGTAGAGGGACTTAATTTTTTTTTTTTTTTTTTTTTGTTAAAGCTGGTCTTTTTGTTTTTCCCTGTCCTGTTTTACATATTTTCTTTGACTCCTTGATTGCCAAGACTCCTGATAGCGTAGGGTCAGGGTTCAGGCTATGTAGTTTTCAAAGTGATAAAAAACTTTTTTTTTTTTTTCAAAAAGAAAATTACATTAGTTTTAAATAAAAAAAAAACAAAAAAACAACAGCCTTATTGGACATACGTGTGATGTCATGCTACCCTTCACTCATTGTTTTCTGTTGCCTCTGTCACAGGACACAGGAGAGCCTGGCTGGTGGCGAGGCGAAGTCGGAAGCAAAGAAGGCGTCTTCCCTGACAACTTCGTCGTCATGATTTCTGAAGCAGAGAAAGAGGTGGGATTGGAAAAAGAACAGAATGAACTCATTATGGTCTACAGTCAACATTCCCAGTCATTCGTTACTAGATCATCTGTTATAGGTTCTTTAAGTTAACCAAGGGACTCGTGAGACTCAGGAGGGTGTGGTGGGTGGTGTTCATGGTGCAAAATATGAGAGTAAACAAGATACAAGGATATGTTCTTTATATTTGCAGTGGTGCAAAATTTAGAAACATCCAGAGTGATCCTTAGAGGCTTACTTCATTCTCTTCATGCTGGAGCAGTTAACACTTAGCTATCCCTTAGTAATGCTGCTATTGGCTTAGACTGCTGGGGGACTTCCCATGATGCACTCAGTCCTTTTGCTGAACTTCCCCATGTGTTTATATACTACTGTAAAAGCATCTTTCCATTCCCCTCATCCATTAACCAGTCACAGTGGATGTACTGTGCGTATAAATTAAAACCAAACGTCAATAAATTTATTCCGTTTTTTTTAACCTGAACTCAATTTGATTTGGACCAATGAAAAAGAAATTATGCAGTACTATGTTTTAGTCCTGGTTTGTTTTCTGTTCACACGGACCAATCAGGAGGAGTAAATATGATGTAATTCAAACTCTCATCTCTTCATCAGCTTATCAGGACACTTAGGAAAATCACATTCTGGTGATTGACAGCACGTTAATGCTGCGCATGAGAATGAGCCCCACAGGGATGTAGCACTGTGGTGCTCCGTATCATTTGAGGTCATCTCCATGTGCAACTCTAAAACTGTTTTTAGATGTTGTGTCCTGAAGTCTTGTTCTGTTCCTTTGCAAAGTCACTATGATGGTTAGATATATAGATTAAGTCATCTAAACTCCTCTTAAGGAAAACATTGCAGTTTGGTTTCATCCTTTGGATGCTTTCAGTGGACTCCAGGAGACTTTCCAAAGTGAATTGTTTAATCCACACACATTCTTTTTTTTTCCTTTTTTTTTTTTTTGGAAAATTTCCTGGCTTCTAGTTCCTGTTGCTGTGTTTTAATTCTTGCCCTCATCTGCTCAGTTCAGCTTGATGTAGCCTGGGGTAAAACAAAAACTTTGCACTATTTATGCTTCGATTCCTGTACAAACCTACCTTTCAGGCAATCACCACTCTGCCTATGCGTAACATCACCACTCTGGCGTTCCACATTGTGTTTCCCACATCTGCCTCTGCATGTCAAAAAATCTCCTGAATGTGCAGTTCAGGATTTGCTCTTTCTACACAGTTTGATCCCCAGCTGTGTAGTAAACTCTGCAGCTTTCTTACATTTTATTGGTTTTCAGTGTGAAAATCTTTTGGTCTTTCCTGCCCATGAAATTAAACACAGAGGTTTAGATAAGGACTCCCTGCTTCACACTGCTCACTCAATCCCAGTTTTGACATATGGCGTACTGTATCTTACATCTACCAATTAGTTTTATGGAGCTCGAAGTCTGATTAAATTTCCCACGTCCCAAATGCAGCAAGTAACTTTTGGTGATCGTCCAAATGCTTTTTACAGTACAAAGGTGTTAAGAGATATATTCTAAAACACTTCTTCAGCAGAGAATCAGAGAGGAGAAACACACAGATTTTCTTGCTAGCAAGGGCAGCCTAGAGTGAGACTCAGAGACCCGCCCTGAGGACTTGCCCTGGTCCTTTATTTATACACTTCAGTGGGTGCTTGTGTGGTGTGTGTGTGGTGTGTGTGTGTGTGAGGAGGGGTCAGAGTGTGACCCCATAAAGACTTCCCTAAAACTGCTGGTCTGGAAAGTCCAGCAGTTCATCAAACCAAAACCACTTAGACTGGAAACAGATATAACTACGTTAATCCTACCGTAAAACAATAAAACAAGGTACGAACTTTCCCATGCTCCTAGGATGTGGGGGTGAAAACCAGAACACCCTGGAATGTTACAGACTTCCTAGGATGAGATAAACACAAATGGTTACATGTAGTATTCTACCATATACAAACTTATATCATTAAAAGATTATACTGACTACTAAGTACAATTTTCCATTGACACAAGGAGCCTTTTGAGATCAGTGGACAGTTTTTAAACAGTCCGTCAGGTTGTGTAAAATAGTGTGAAAGTCTGACTGATTGATCTCATCAGAGAAAGCTGTTGGAGTGACTTTCTAGCAGATTTCTGTTCTTGTTCAGGCTCCCACATCAAGAGGGTCCATCAAATCATCACCAAAGCCAGAGGCAGAAGAGGTAAGCATCCAGAGTACCCCAAACTATTCACAAGCACTTCTTTTCATCCTTAGCTGCCTGTATGTAAAGGATGGGTGCAGCTATCATAGTTCCTGTGATGGAAAACAGGATTATGTTCCTCCTTTTCTCTCAACTTTCCTCTCACCATCCCAAACAGTCGCAGCAGGTGACTACTACTGGTCTCTTCTTGTTGAAAGGGTGGTCTTCCTCCCCACTGTTGACAGTGCTAGCTGATGAGAGATTTTTAGATCTGTGTTTCTGTCTAATACTGCAGGGGTCAACATTCTGAGATTTCTTGAGGAATTCACATCAAATTTTCTGTTGTTGTGAATTGGTGCTATTTAAATTACACTATGTTTATCATCCATGGCCACATTCAGTGATTACTATAAGTGATCAATCAGTGCAAATTTGATTTGTTTTGAGTCATTTGATTTAATTTTTGCTTTCAGTTTTGGTGTTTTCTCGCTCACAGGTCTGCTGCTCACCTTTATTATTAGGGCCCGAGCACTGAGAGTGCGAATGCCCTATTGTATCTGCTCCGTTTCTTATTATTATTAGGGCCCGAGCACTGAGAGTGCGAAGGCCCTATTGTATCTGCTTCGTTTATTAGGGCCCGAGCACTAAAAGTGCGAAGTCCCTATTGTATCTGCTCCGTTTATTATTAGGGCCCGAGCACTAAAAGTGCGAAGGCCCTATTGTATCTGCTCCGTTTATTATTATTATTATTATTATTATTATTATTATTTTTCACCGAAATGAATTGCCTTTTTGAGGGCTTTAACATGCTCAAAAACTCATGAAATTTTGCACACATGCCAGGTCTGGTGAAAAATTTTGTATTTTAATGGTTTTACATATGAGCACTGGGAAATGGCTCTAGAGCGCCACCTATGTGTTGTTAAATGCAGCCCTACGACCACATTTTTTAAACTACATGTATGAAATCTGGCACACATGTGTACCATGCCGAGTCGAACAAAAAAGTCAATTGGCGCATTGATGCAAACCCAACAGGAAGTCCGCAATTTAGAAGTGAAGGTGACATTTTGGCTCTAATTTTGCCATTTCCATGCCTCGAACTTTTGCGAACTCCTCCTTGGGGTTTGAATGTATAAGCTTCATCTTTGGTCAGTGTCAACTACACACCTGGGCCATGTTAAATTGCGGAGCTTTTGAGTTTTCACAATACAGTGAGGCCGTGGCGCCA